CAGGGGTGTGCCGAAAGTGGTTTTAAAAAGCGAAAGGCGAAAATGCGAAAGTCAAAAAAGGCGAAAATCGGCGAAAGACGAAAGGCGAAACTCGCACACCCCTGTTGTACATATATTCAAGTATATTAAAAAGTGGCTCCTTAGCTATGGTTTTTTTGGGGTGTTTTTGCTGCTGCAGAGGATGCCAGCCATGCCATATCATCAATGATAGGAATAGGATTAAGTTAAGCGTCCAGAACCCAGCGACCATCGACTTCCTTCGCGACGCGTGCTGACAAGCGCCACGCCGCCTACTGCACTGCCTTAGGGATTAAATAGCTATTTGCTTTACATTATCAACAAAAAAGCTACGAAAAAATTAGTAAAATGAAGTGATAGAATTTAAACGTTTTTAATTTTTTGCAATAAATATAAAATTGCTTATATGAAAAATTAAAAAAATATGTCTGTGAGTATAAACGTGTAAATTTATATTTTTAATTACCAAAAATGCTTAACGACAAAATTTATTTGACACTACATTTAGAGTGTTTGTTTGCATTTTTTAACTAAAAAAACTCGGAAACTATTGAAAATAATGGTGTTGTTTATATGAATATTCTTTAGTCTTTAAGCATAAGATGTTGTTTTTTTTTGATGATGAAGATGGAGGTGTGTACTTATGAAGATGGAGGTGTGTACAAGCTTACCATTGTGTACAAGCTTAGGTAAGAAAAATAATAGGGGGGAGGGCCATTGATAGTTAGTTGCTACAAGTAAAACATTTAAATAAGTGAAGAAAAGTCCGCAAAAAAAAGTCCGCAGAAAGGGCACCTCCATCTTCATAAGTACCGAAAAAGTTAATTATATATGACGAAATAAGAGTTAGCCCACGGATATCTAAATCCTATATCTGAACCAAAAGCTTCCTGATATCTTAGCCAATCCTCGACTGAATTTTAAAACAAAATTGTTGTGTAGTGGATTATGGATAGTATAAAAGCCATTGTAAGCGTCAGTCTAGTTGGATCATAAAAGCGGTGCTAGTCACTGATCTCCTTCGTCTGTTCCAACTCTATCCCTTCGCCTACACATTGTTTATTTCTCTACAGATATTTCTCTCTCGGACAACCCTCGGACATAACAAAAATGATATTTTATTAAAGCAGGGTTCCGATCTACAAAATGCCAATCAAAAGTACAAAAATCTCGATTTAAAAGTACATAGGGACTAAATTTCCAAATAAAAAGTACACTCCAATATTTCTCTCATAAATGAATCTTTTCTAATATTCCTTGTTTCCGCTGAGCATTTTTTGGCGCCGAATTCGCCAAAAAAATCTTCCATTGCCAAACAGTCTTTCTATAAAAGTCTTCTATATAAAAACTCTTCTTCTACGCAGGCGAAAATTTTTAGAATTTTGGAGGTCCTTAAGCCAGATTTTTTCCATTTTTTGCCAAAATGTTGATTTAAAAGTACATACTTTAAAAAAAGTGCAAATTTAATTTTGTAAGTACTGTAAAGCATATAATTTCCTAAGGCTGAGCAGTAGGCGGCGTGGTGTAATGGCTAACACATCAGTCCGGTCTTCTGAAGATGCTGGTTCGCTCCCAGCCGCCGAATAACCTTTTGCACTAGCTAAACGAGAGAAATAGCTATTGCCCAGCTGCTTTACTGTACGTAGGTCGATTTAAAAGTACAATACTTTCAAAAATGTACGAATCGGAACCATGTATTCAAGTATTTTCTGCGATAAAATAATATAAAAGCCTTATTAGTCATTCTAGTATATGTATATCCATATAATAAATGAAGAGATAAAAAGTAGCTTTTAATCAACATTATATTTTAAATATTATTATGTGTGAGAAACTTAGTAAAAAAATATTATTTAGAATTATAAACGTTGCATAAATTTTTTTTTAATTTGTATATTAATAATAAAAAATATATTTATTTATTAGAATTTTAGGAAATAAAATTCGTATCATAAGAAAATGTTTGTTTGCATAGTTTCGGAACTGGTAAATAATCGTGTTAATAATTTAAAAAATTTTGTTTCTACAAAAAATTAGTTATATAGTACATACATATGAAATTATCGTGTTAAATAAAAAATTTGTTTAATTCTACAACAACAAATTGATACTCCTTAACATAATTTATGATAAATATTTTCTATATTTTTTACAAAAAATTAACGGAACTATTTTTAAATTTAGTAGGATATAAAAGTAAATGATATTCTTCTAAAAATCATTAAAATGTTTAAAAATATTCCTTCCATAAAGTTAATATTTAATACCGTATTCTCTCTAATTAAATGTTCTCTCTAATTAAATTAACCCTTTGAATGCCTCCCCCCCCCCCCATCTAATAGAATGTCCCCATTAAAAGTAGGGTTGCGCCCCGAGCCTTGGGGTTGAAAAAGTCGGGGTTTTCGGGGTTGGGAATGTCGAGGTCGGGGTTTTAGGTCAAAAAATGTCGGGGTTCGGGGTCGGGGCGCAACCCTAATTAAAATTGTTTGAAAAATAGAATTCCTAACTCTTTTTCGAAATATAAAAAGATATTCTATACGAAACGATTTTGTTATGTACGTGACTTGTATGTTTACGTACTAACAAGAATAACAAGATAAGACAGACTAACAACTGTGCTTTATCTACAAGACTAAATACAATAGTAACGAACAATAGGAATATGGCCGACGCCGAATATGTGGAGCACTAGAATAAGGCTAAGAATAACACTAACGAATACTAACTCACAAATAGCTAACGCCTTAGCTTTTTATACTGAGCACATACTGTTATGTCCTAGACTTGTATGTCTACGTACTAACAAGAATAACAAGATAAGACAGACTAACAACTGTGCTTTATCTACAAGACTAAATACAATAATAATGAAGGTGGCAAAAGGCAAGAATGAATAAGGACAGACGGCGCCGGTCGACCCAGGTGTCGAACCAGACTGATCTCTAACGACTCCTTTTATACTAGACCCACACATACCTAACACATACCCTACAGATTTCTATTCTATTTTCTGAATTTTCTTAACATTATTGGAGTATTATTAAATTATTAAAAATTAAAAACTATTTTTATTTTATGTACACTACGTACAATTTTTTAAAATTTGAAATTTTCTCATTATAACCCACCCTCTAATAGAATGACAGTTTAGAAGGGAAATGAAAAATAGAATTTTTCTATTATAGAAAAAATCGGTAGTTAAGCAAAATTAGCCACTAGGACGAAAAAATGTAAAATCAAGGCATTTGTTAGGTCCTTCAAATTAGTTATCCTATTTAGTTATCCTTCAACTCCTTCTGTGGCAGGAATTGAAGGATTATTGTCTTAAAAGTTCATTCGTTTATTTTAATAATTTGTTCAGGTTAGCTTTTTTAAAAATTAAAATTTTTCAGGAAAAGTAAAATGTATTACACGTTAATTCAACTACTTCTTTTTATAACAATTTTTACTTTTGTTCAAAGCGATGCATGCCTGAGAAACTCATCGTGTAATCCCTGTATGAATGACTGCTGTCCTGGAGACTGCCCATAAAAAGTATAATTCTAATTTTAATCGAATTAAATATTTTTAGTATAGAATACAAGTACATATGTAGCTGCAAAGTGTCATTGAGTGTTATTGTTACGCCGACATGTTATACTATCTTTGGGAAACTTCAATAGAAACGCTTCATTTTTTCTAATAAAATTTTAATTATTTTTCCTTGGTGATATTTTCATACTAGTTTTTTAATTAATTTATTTATTCACATATAAGTTGTGATAGTTATAAAGTTACTTTAAATAGTTTTTTTAATTTCAATATTTTCTGCTCGTTCACTTAAATATGAGGTCTACAAAACAAACACTTCTAATTTCATTCACCATTTTTCTATATACCAGGGCTGGACGAAATCTAAAAATAAAAAGCGAAATGCGAAACTTTTTGCACTGAAAAATGCGAGAATGCGAAACGCGAAAGTGCGAAATAAGCCCAGCCCTGCTATATACTATTTATAATTAAATAAATTTTCTTTCAAAAATAGAGTAATTCTAAAAAAATTATTAGAAAATTTCACATTAAGTTAATGCAATTTTATCTAGGATTGTCTTTTGCTTGAAAACTTTTAGGTATCCGGAACGATTCCATTCTGAATCGACAACCTTGCTCTCATTTACTTTGACTTTTTTTAAAGTTCATGCGCTTTAAAGCATTTACAGTACAATACATATGTTCTAATAGAAGCCCGGCTCCAATAGAAGCCCACCTGATTTCTGAATGCAAATTTTGGCTCTATCGCAAATGAGGTGCGTTGAGGTGCAAATGAGGTGCGATTAGAATGAATAATTAAATTTAAAAATTATTATTAAAAATTATTTAATTAAAAAATTAAAAATAAATAAAATTGTTATAAAAAATATTAATTCGGCATTTTATACAACTTTATTACATACATATCTTAGGATTTTTACAACCTAAAAATCCGATTCCGTGCACTCACGTCCTTCTTACATCCTACTCACATCCTAGAATCACATATTCTATTCTTTTCCAAAATGACTTATTAGACTTTGACTTACTAGAGATTTTTAAGTGTTCATATGAAATTTTTAAAATAAAATTTTTTTAAATAATTTTAACAAATTTTAATTTTAGCATATAGAAACTCCACATGATCTTTCTAAAATGGTAACAGAAATTAAATTCTTTAAAGTTGTTGGAGATGTTGTTATAAGTAAAAAAGCAGAAAATATTGAAAAAGAAGCGAATGATTATTACAAAACCATAAAATACCAGCTTTCCTATAAATTCAATTCAGAAATGAAGTTTTCTGTTTATACATATCAGAGATATTTTGGAGTCATTTAATGATGAAATTAAGAGAATTAATTGATAAATTTATTTATTATAATTTTGTATAAAACCAAAAAAAATCAAATTAATAATTTTCAATATAAATACTCCTTAAGAAGACAAAAGTAAATTTTTTAGATTTGAAAAACTTTTTTCGGTTTTTTTCATAGATTTTTATTTTTTCAATTGAACGGTTTATTTGGATTAGTATGTTTTTCTTTTAAAACCCCAAAAATTAATTTGTTTTTCTATTATAGATCCTTGCTTTTATTTTTTTGCTTTGGCTTATTAAATGGACAATTAAAAATGGAAGAACTTTAAAATTTAAAAATAATTATCGTTTTATTGTTTTGACTGGAAAAGATGTTGCAAGAAAAATATTTTTTGATTAAAAAGTAAATTCAAAAATAAATTTATATTTAGGCACGTGATGATTTTGCCTTTTTTGCTGATTATGGAAGTTGTATGCTTTTTGGTTATTTAAATCAATCATCAATTAATCAGAAACTAAATGTTTTCGTGGCTATAATGGAAAGAAGGGTAAAGGTTTTAATTTTGCTTTTTCCGATATTTTTCGGCACCTGGGAAGAAGTAATGGCCCGTGTTACCCGAAACCTTGACCCGAACCCCGATTTAGGTAAATTTGAAAGCAAGATCCGACTTTTTCTCAACCAGGAAAACCCTACTAGGAAATTCCATAATTTTGGTTTGTTACTCAAAAACTGAGCGCTTTCTTATTTAGTTAATCTCCTTTTAATTTTAGCTTATATCAAAACTAAATTAATTCTCGCAAACTTTTATTTATAAATTTACATTAGATTAATGCTGATACTTCCTGTCGCTGCTCTTGAATCAAAATATTCTTCTTGGGACATTTTAATTATATTTTGTGGTTATTGTTTTCATCATTCTCTTTGCCTGTTTATTTGTTGTAACTATTTATGGAACTATTTTTATCTTAAAATTTGCTCAAAAATATCATCAAATTGATTTGCATAAATTAACGTTATACCAGCCCTATTCTTTTCTTTAATTTTGTTAAAGTCTTCTTCCATACTTTTCGGCAACACAATTTTAGTAAACCAAATGCTCGAGCTGCTTTCACCTTAAATAAAAAAGAATTAGTCAAGGATCCACAACAAAACTAGTCAATACCTTTTCTTTTAACCAAACGAACTATCAATCCTGTATCAGTGATCTTCCTGTTAATCAAGAATAAATTATGTGAGAAAATTCTCTATACTATGCTTAAATAAGCTAAAAAGCATAGATATTCTATTAGATATTCTATTATATTCTATTACATAAATATTCTATCATTCTCTATATCTATGCTTTTTAGCTTATTTAAGCATAATATAGAGAATTTTCTCACATAATTTATTCTTGATTAACAGGAAGATCACTGATACAGGATTGATAGTTCGTTTGGTTAAAAGAAAAGGTATTGACTAGTTTTGTTGTGGATCCTTGACTATTTCTTTATTTAAGGTGAAAGCAGCTCGAGCATTTGGTTTACTAAAATTGTGTTGCCGAAAAGTATGGAAGAAGACTTTAACAAAATTAAAGAAAAGAATAGGGCTGGTATAACGTTAATTTATGCAAATCAATTTGATGATATTTTTGAGCAAATTTTAAGATAAAAATAGTTCCATAAATAGTTACAACAAATAAACAGGCAAAGAGAATGATGAAAACAATAACCACAAAATATAATTAAAATGTCCCAAGAAGAATATTTTGATTCAAGAGCAGCGACAGGAAGTATCAGCATTAATCTAATGTAAATTTATAAATAAAAGTTTGCGAGAATTAATTTAGTTTTGATATAAGCTAAAATTAAAAGGAGATTAACTAAATAAGAAAGCACTCAGTTTTTAATAGAGTTGGACGAGTCGAGATCGATATCGATATATCGTCTCGAATATCGCACATTTTCCAATATCGATATCGGTCTCATCCGATATCGATCTCGAAATCGATACCGATATATCGCCCCAAATATCGATCGATATCGAGATTAATATACACCCCTAAAGATTGCCTTTTTTTCTAAGAAATGAAAGAAATCTGGCCTCTTGCCTTTCCAAAATTCTCAAAATTTTCGCCTGCGGCTCTGAGAAAGAGAGAAATAAGGCTACTTGGCTCTCCCAATCTTCCATTTTTGGTCGTGGTTAAATGGTAAGTCGACTGGCTTCACTCACTTAGATATTTTCATAGGGATGGGTTTGGATCCAGAGATGGAAATAGCCATAAAAAATTTTTATTTTGAGATCACTATTTTGAAATCACTTGCAAAAATCTCAAAATTACATGACAGGGATGGATTTTCTTCCGCTTTTTAGACCTCTTCCGCCAAAAATACACCCCCAATTCCGACAAAACTCTAGAAGAAATTTATTTTGGACTTAAGAAATTTTCCCCATGTTCCAAATAAGAAAAATGTGGCTTATTGACCTTGCAAAAATCTCAAAATTTTCGCCTGCGGCGCTGAAAATGCAAGTTTTTGGCCCGTTGACCTTCAAAAATTCTCAAAATTTTCGCCTGCGGCGCAGGAAAAGGTAAAAATATTATAATAAAAATTTTTAAAAATAATACGGTAAATATCGAATATCGATCTCGATATCGAGTCAAATCTTGCATATCGATATCGATCTCGACCATGCCAATATCGACCAATATCGATATCGAATTTCTCCTAAAATATCGATATTGTCCAACTCTAGTTTTTAAGTAACAAACCAAAATTATGGAATTTCCTAGTAGGGTTTTCCGGGTTGAGAAAAAGTCGGATCTTGCTTTCAAATTTACTTAAATCGGGGTTCGGGTCAAGGTTTTGGGTAACACGGGCCATTATTTCTTCCCAGGTGCCGAAAAATATCGGAAAAAGCAAAATTAAAACCTTTACCCTTCTTTTCTTATAGCCACGAGAAACATTTAATTTCTGATTAATTGATGATTGATTTAAATAACCAAAAAGCATACAACTTCCATAATCAGCAAAAAAGGCAAAATCATCACGTGCCTAAATATAAATTTATTTCGAATTTAATTTATAATTTAAAAAATACTTGTTTTGCGACAGCATTTCCAGTCAAAACAATAAAACGATAATTATTTTCCAATTTTAAAGTTCTTCGATTTTTAATTGTCCATTTAATTGTCCACTAAAGAAAAAAAATAAAAGCAAGGATCTAGAAATAGACAAATAAATTAATTTTTGGGGTTTTAAAAGAAAAACATACTAATCCAAATAAACCGTTCAATTGAAAAAATAAAAATCTATGAAAAAAACCGAAAAAAGTATTCAAGTAAAATAAACAAAATTAACACATTGGGTAAAATAATCATTTTCATTTAAATTAGAATAATTCTGTATAATTTCCAACAAACGTTGATTTGCTTGTTTATATTCAATTTTTGAATAAACTGAGACCTGAAAAAATTTTTATTTTTTTTAAATTTTTTGTATAAATTTAAACTTTAAATTTATAAATTTTGATGTTTTCCTAACGGGGAATTCCTCGGAGGAAGAACGCGGGGGCCAAAGTCCCCGTTAAAAAATCCACCAAATCCCCGTTCCCCATAGAATCGGCACCCAGTTTGTAATATCGAACCCTAAATTAAAGTGAATTAAGGCAGTGTTCATTCCACCCCTTTCACTTTGCATTGGTTTCCAGTGTTTACTTATGAACCAAGGGTTCGGGAATTTACGCCCCAACTGTGCCTGGAACTATCAGCAATTTACATGTACATTTTTGGCTTGTTATACAAAATTCCCAAAAATTTTCAAAACTCAAGAGATCCGACTAAAAAAAGGAAACCAACGTATCCGTTGACACAGCTGCTTTGGTTTCGAACACAAAAACTTGATTAGATCGATAAGAAGGCACTAAGACCCACGAATAAATAAATCCCCGACCGAAGTCAAATGTCAAAAAAGAAGACACTATAACACAAATAAGGATATAAAACATAAAAAGGTGGACACCCTAAACCACCCAAATACAATATAAAAATAATAAAAACCTCCTCTCCAGCATCCAATTTTGAACAAAGAACATCAACCTTTTCATTCTCGTTCAATATTCTAACCAGAAAACGAAAGAAATTTTGTCGCAGACTAGACCAAATATTTTGTAAATTTCTATGCCAAAATTCCACAGAATTTTTAGTTGAAGGTAATTGAAATTCTGTAATATATTTTGAATTCCACATTTCAATAGGAAAGAGAGGAGAGCGTCGAGGACGTCCAATAAACATATTTTCAATAAATTCGATAAAATCTTGGTGAGCTTCAGTGTCCCCAAATTGCTGTAGAAAGTGATCAGCAAGATGCTCAAAGCGTTGGAATACATTCTATAAATTTTTAAGAAAAAAATTTATAATAAATATTGAATATTAGGCATTTTTAAGGACCGAACCCTACATAAAGGATGAAAGGAAAAAATTTTATTTTAAATTTATGAAAATGACCAGTTAAAATTTTCAAGAGTTTAAAGGTCTGGAGCAGCAATTTTAAGACCCCCCTCCCCCTCCCTCTATTCACATGAAAACAATTTCCACAGATATTCCCACAGCTGAATTTAAATCCTCAACTAACAATAAGCCAACCCGAAAAATCCAGACCTTTTTCCGACACGGAACCCTTCAAAGAAAATTTTGAAAAATTGATCTGAAACCTGGGATCAACCCAGATGGTCAAATTACCCAAAATGTCAAACCCAAAACCTTTTGGGTTTCGATCTTCCGTGGTGGACCCCTGAAACACGACCCAGACTTTTTTTCCTAAATTTGATCCACACTTGTCAGTATCCAAACCCTTATTAAAAATCAACCACAAAAAACTACACAAAATGGGCACATAAATCAATCAAAACCAAAAAAACTTTAAAATTTCTTCACAAAAATTAACCTGAACATCACACAATGCCAAAACCGAAAATTTCTTTAAAGCCAAAGCATATTCAGGTTCTTGATCAAAACGTGTATTCAAGCCGAGATTTTGGATTGACTGCCATATTGACTTAAATAAAAATTATAAAAGATGTTTTTAAAGAAGGAAACCTGATTAAAATGGAACCAACAACCAGCAACGTGTGTTTGAGGGATCAAAGCTCGAATAACATTCTCAACAGATTTTTCAAAATCAATAATGAACATCATTGGACGGCGCTCACCAATCGAATTTAAAACACAAGTTAAAGCACGTTTGTAAATTTCTTCAGATTTATTAGGGATAAGGCAATAAACAAATGGAAGCACTCGATTCCTAAATTTAAAATAAAAAAGTTGTGGCTATTTGGAAGTTTGTTGATTTTGACGGGAGGGTGGGGAAGGGGGGGAGGTAACCAGGGATGGACTGCCTCCTTTTTCTGCCTTTTTTGACCTTTTTGAGTTCAGCCCTCCACTTTTTAAAATGCGGGAAGACCCATACCTTATAGCTAGGCTAGACTTTTTAATATTTTTCTCAAGTGTCCTTAACCTCCTTGACCAACTCGTCAATGAATTTTCAAAATTTCTCATCAAATATTTTTAACAGTAAGTCAACACCCTTAGAAAAATTAGCTATTTTCAGGTAAATCGACACATTTTTTGTCCACAACTTATTAAATAAAAGATCAAAAACTGAAAAACTTTTGGAGACCATAACAGAACACATGATGGATGTTTTTTGCAAAATTTTATATTTCAAAGTAATCAATTCATAATCCTAGCCCACTCCCAAAAAGGCCAGTCCCAGTAATAAAAATAAAGTTAATTACCAATAAAACCCGTACAACACCCAAAAATGGTAAAATGCACCAGAACCAGATTTAAAAGAACTGTCAGCTAGCCAAGTCCCACATCTTGAAAGACGGTCCAAATCCGTAGAAGACGCAAAAATAATTAAACGCTCTGGATCTTCCGCACCCGTATCAAGCAAAACAAATTCTTCTTTCAATAGAGTTTTTGTTTTTCGATAGTCTTCGTGGATTACAATTTCTGATCGGGAGCGAGGATTGTCAGGCAAACCCTGTAGTCTCCGTTTTCTTTTAATTGTAGTTGCTAAGGAAGAAATTTTTGGAAGTGTGGCAATGACTGCATCAGATGCGCCTAAAAATGAACATTTTAGAACAGATGAGGATTTTTGCCTGTAGCGGCTCAATTGCTTGTATTCTTCTATTGAAACGCCACAGGCAAGAGTTAACTGAGCGTGCAATTGTCAATTAACCACTTGCCCCCCCCCCATCCGCGAAAAGAATCCTGTTTACGGGCCTGTTGCCAACCCTCTCAAACAATAAGTTGAAATTTTTGAAAATTCGGTGAACTGTCCCAAATTTCAGTGTATTCGGTAAAATGTCATTTCCGTGAAATCCCCTTAATTTAACAAAAAACAACCTGCAAGACATTCATTAATAACCGCTTTGGGCGACTCCTTCGAAGTTTTTGCTGCTTGTAAAATATTATTCCGAATTCTAGTAGCTTCAATAAGAGTAAGCGACGGAACACAAGAATGTGGTTGAGTAACAAAAACGTCGTTGTCAACAGTTTTTGCCCGTCCAGGACATTTTTCATTCGTCTTATATTCTTTACACGCCCAATAAATTGTCCCAGCTTTGCCATAATCTTTTATGTATCGATAACCTTTGTGAACGAGCATTTGGTTTCCTCTTGTAGTCGTTGTAAAAATTTCTGAGGAAGACGGTTTTGGACATTTTTTGTTGGGTCTGTTCAATATTTCCTTCTTTATAGGCTTTTTTTGAATAGGGGAGAAGGAAGAAACGATTTTTGGAGACGATGAGATGGATGTGTTTGAGGCTCCTAAATTTGATTTTATAAAAAAGAGTAAAGGTTAAGTTAGTGTTCGATTTGAATTCGTTCCAAAAACTCCCTCTCTATTTGCGTTTGGCATCCCTATCGATAAAAAGCGATTTCGAATCAAAACTCGGAGGTCTTGGACTTATCACGGGATTAGGAAGATTAAAGGACATTTGAGACGCCACAGTCAAAAATTAACCGTTAAACAAAAGTCCAATTTCCCCTATTTTTATGCGAAGAATCTCGGTCGATAAATTTTTGATTGATAAAATGCCAAAGGCAAATATAACGGAATTTTTGGGAAAAATAAAAAATACAGCCCCTTTAACCCCTTCGAAAAGAAAATTAAGAAAACCTGCGTCAGACTCCATTCCAACATCATTGAGTAGTGTATTACATCCTTGAGGTTTTTGAACAATATAGCTTCCATTAAGAAGTTCCTCAACAGAAGTCGATGGAATACAAGTATGTGGTTGTGTTTCGATTACTTGGTTGCCAACAGTTTTGGATCTTCCACGGCATTTGATTTTGGTCCTAAATTCTTTACAACACCAATAAGTGTTAAGACCTCGTGAATATTCGCGAATATATTTGTAGCCGTTGTGAATTAACATTTGTTGTCCTCTAGAAGTTTTCAAAACATATACAAGCTTTAAAGAAACCCTGAAAAATGTGAAAAATTAGAAATTTGGGGAAGAACGATGAGCAGAGGTGGAAGCAAAGCCTTGGAATTACCCAATTGGGAACTGCGAAAATTGCATGACTTTCGGATTTTCAGCGGAGGGAAAATTTTTATAATTTTTCGTCCAGTCGAATGCATGCAAAAATTTCTGTAAATTGACTGAATGGTGACGTGTCTCGCTAAAAAATGAAAGTGTCAGTAAATTGTCCAGACGGTGAAATGTCCAATCTGCATTTTGCATAATTTAACACTTTGAAATATTTTTAAAGTAAAAATTTCAAAATATCTATTTTTCATAATATCAAACTTCATTTTTTTAAATAATGTCCAGCCGAATCCCGCTGGATTTTTCCGCGATCTCCGGATTATTTCCTCCCCGTATTAATCCGAGAAATCTTGTCTGATCCGATCTTTTGTCTTTTCTTTACATTTTTCAGTTAATATTTAATTCAAAATGGCTTCAAATTATCATCGAAAGCCTTATTTTCGTTCAAATGCTGGACCTTCATCTCAAAAAAATGCAATTACTCCAGGACTTTGTGGCCTTTTCTTTACTGCAGAAAATGAACAGAGGGCTGTTCCTGAAGCTAAAAATTTGATTGACCGTTTTTTGGAGGAAGAAACTTTGAATTTGACGACAGAAAAGGTTTTTTTTCCATATCGGGACAATACACCGTCCGACAAAATACAGTCCACATATTTTAGTTAGTAAAAAATACCTTCCGTTTCGAAACAAATTTCAGATGGATCATAGACATAATCGGGCCCTTAACCAGGATTTTTTTCGGGGGGGGGGGGGGCGGCGGGGGCAAGGGAGGAAAATTTTTCTTGGCCAAAGTTTTAGCGGCACAGGGGAATTTTTTTTAAATTTTGAAGGCTAAGAGGCCTTCAAAAAATTTCTAGAAATACAAAAAAAGATCCATGATCAAGGGCGTAGCAAACGCCAAAATTTTGGCGCACATCCAATTTTAGCTCCCTTGAAATCGACCCTCCAGCTACGCCCTTGTCCATGATCCCATCCAATGATCCCTATCCCTTTACTTTTTTCAGCCTGTACCATCAGAAGCAACAGAAAAGACTGAAGACATTTCCGATTCATTAAAGACAGCCTGTCATCAATATAAACGTGGGCATAAATCAGCTCTTCGACAATTAGAAACAAAAGCACGCAACACACTTTTCTTCATTTCTCCTCAAATTACGCCAGAAAATGTTTATTTACTTGCTGAAAAGATGGTTAAATTGTGTTTGGAAGATGAGGCTCAAACTCGTTTTTTGGCTAAGGTTTTCTTTTAAATTATTTTTTTTTTGGTTAATTTCGAAACCCCTCTTGTTGAAATTATTGTTTATGGTCCTTTTTCCTCCCCAAAATTTTTCCTCTGCAGAATAGTTCGACTATTATTTTTTTGAGGGAAAATCGGGGAGGAAAAGAGGGGCCTTGAACGACATTTTATCCCCTTCTCTCTCTATTAATCAAAATTTTTATTGCCCATGGATACTAGTAAAATCTTAAGAAGAAAATTTCAGATAGTTTTTGAGATGGGTTAAATCTGAAAGAAGGCAAAAAAAATTTTTTTCTAGTTTTAAGATGCCTGTTTTATCAGGGATAGAGTGTTAATTTGCTGTTTTAAAGTTTTATAAAAAGTGTGTGGAAGGTAGGAATCTAGCCGACATAAAAATTCAATTTCCGATTTTCGGAAATCGGGTAGGCTAGATCCCTGGTGAAGGGAATATAAAAAAGGTACCCATTTTTTGACCTTTCCATGATTAAAAACAATTTTTTCTTTAAAGGTAATTCCAATAGAAGAGACTTGTTATGCTAGTATGCCACAAATTTTGTCATCTCTTAGTGGAATGCTTTCAAAACATTTGGAAAAATTTTCAAAAGAATTTGATTTTCCACCTTGTTATGCAATTGATTTTAAAGCTAGAAATACTCAAGCAATTGAAAGACAACCAGTTTATGATGAAGTTGTTGCTTTAATGAATGAACAATCTAAAGGAAGTAAAGTTAATTTGACTATGCCTGATTTGTTAATTGTTGTTCATGTAAGTTTGGAAAGGGTTGACTGACAAATGAGTGCCAGCTGACTTTGATCGGCTATAACTTTTTAATGCCTGATCCAATACAAATTAATTTTATTTCATTCGAAAGCCTTCGGTAAGCTGTATATTTTTTCTAATAGGATATCTCAAGTCTGATCACTGATTAGAAAGTTATACGATAAGTCCAGTTATTTGAGGTTTTTCACTTATTGAGGTTTTCACTTTTTAATGGGTGATCAGACCTGATCCATCAAGTTGAAAAAAGTGTACGGCTTAGCGAGAGCTTTTGAATGATATAAAATTCATTTGTATTGGATCACGCATTAAAAAGTTATTGCTGATCAGAGTCGCTGGCACTCAGTTTGCGGTCGTATAACGTCAAAGTACTAATTTTGTAAATTTTTATTTAAAAAATTTTTTTTCAGGCAATCCGAACAGTTGCATTTCTCTCAATTATTCGAAATTATGCCCAAAATAAAAAATATGTTTTGAGAAAGCCGCCACCAGCTGAAGAAAACAAAGAAAAGAAGGAAAAAGTTGAGGATGGAGATAATAATAAAGTTGGTAATGGGGAAAATGAAGATAAATCAGATGAAGGGGAAGAAGTTGTTAAAAATGAAAAGGAGGAGGAGGGTGATGGGGCTGGGGTGGATTGACAATCAGAAAGAATTTTTGATAAATTAAATTATATTAAATTATTTTTTGAAAATTAAAAAAAAATATTTTTTAAATAAAATTTTCAATAAAAATTTATTTATTTAAATTTTTCCTTAATTTTTGAATGCTTGTGTGTTTTTAAAATCAAGCACTGCTAACAGAAATTAACAGAATAAAAAAAACAAAAAAACAGAAACACTCTCAAGAAATTTTTCAATAGCAAGTCACATCTTAGGATCTAATGCAGTTGAACACAACACTGAAATTTTCTACCGTACTAAGGTACAGAAGACCGATAACATTCAAAATTTTCCGTGCCATGTTTCGTACCATTCTACGGATAAGGAATACCAATAAGTACCGAAAGATGCTGTCGCTAGTACGGCAAGGTCCTATCTCTGTTCCTAAGCATTATAGTTTATTGCAGATCTGCCCAAGACTGAAAATTTTCCAAGATTCGAGACTAAGACTACACCTCCAAGACAAAGACCGAAAAAAAACCCAAGAAACGTCTTGAGTCAAGATTGAAGACCAGGAGTCTTGGACAGCTCTAGTTTATTACTCCTGCACATTGGAATACATTGGGAGCATTTTCGAGACAACTTTTAACAAACAAAACATGAATTGCAATATGCGATTTCGAGTTTCCTCGAGAAAAGCAAAAGAATTTTTTCCCTAGTCAAAATCCTTCTTCTTATTTCAAAACTTTGTTTTCCTTTAAAATCAAGTGCTATCGAATCAATGATATACACGTTTGCGTCATGAGGAAATTTTCAATAAAATTCACGTGTCTACCCTGCCTGCGTTATTCAATGCGCCTTCATTTAATTTTTTATTTTATAATAGTGAATGCCCTTAGCTAAAGGGCATTCCTTTTATTTTTTTTAATTTTGAAATTTAATTTTTGAATTTTAGAGAATGCCCTTTAAATAGGGCCCTTAGATGCCCTTTAAATGGGAATGCCCTTTATATTTAAAGGATTTTGTTAAATCTATTTTTGCACTTTTCCCGCTTTATTCTTTTTATTTTCCATTTAAAAATTTATTTTTAAAAGTCATACCTCTCTAAAATACATCAAATACCTGGTTATAAGATATAGTCAAGACCTCTATTGCGAACACCTCCCAATAATGGATACACCTCTATTTTAAGGATTTTATTTTAAAATTTGGTTCATTAGATGGAGGGTGCTGCCTAAACAATACCTTCTATTTAACATACTCTTCGTTAGGATACAGCAGAACCTCTATTGTAAACACCCCCAAATAATGGATACACCTCTATTTTAGACATCTATAAATTTTGGTTGATCACCAAGTGGGGGAGCTGGCTAAGCGATACCTGGTTTTAAGATAGAGTCAAGAACCTCTATTGCGAACACCTCCCATTAATGGATACACCTCTATTTTAAGGATTTAATTTTAAAATTTGGTCCACTAGATAGAGGGTACTGCCTAAACGATAGCTTCTATCTAACATACACCTCGTTTAAGATACAGCAGAACCTCTAATGTAGACACCCCCCAATACTAGCTACACCTCTATTTAAGACACGTTCTATAAAATTTGGTTGATCACCAAGTGGGGGAGCTTCCTGAGCGATACCCCTCTATTTAGCGTACACCTCGTTTTAAGATAGAGTCAGATCCTTAATGTGTTTTAAAATGTGGAGGAGGCGTTGTCTGTGCCATACCCCCTATTTAACATACACCTTATTATAGGCTTTCAGCCTCAATCATTTTTCTTTGAAATGATTCGCCAAAAATTCAACAAAATTGTACTTTTGTTTTTATTATTAATTTGTTATTATCGTGAAATTGAAGGAAATGGTGGTGAAGATGAGAGAGGCGGAGGCAAAATTAAGGGGAGTGAAGGGGAAGTCGAAGGAGGGAAAGTGGTAGTTGGAATTGGAGGGATTAGAAGTGAAGTTGAAGGAGGGAAATTGAAAGTTGGAGGAGGGAAAGGAGGTGACCTTCAACATGGTGGAGGTGAACTTGGTGGGGTTAAAAATGAAATTAAAAGAGGTGAGGAAGTCCAAATTGAAGCGAAGGGAGGTGAAAGAGTGCCTGAACAGTTTATTAAAAAATCTGATAAAGAAACAAAAAGTTTAAAAAAAGTTTGGGGTAAAATTGAGAATAAAAAGGAGGAAATAGGAGATGAAAAAGAATATGAAAATGACTTTCCGTCATTATCAGACAGTAAAAATGTTACTAAAAAGACAATGAAATATAAATATTTATCTGCTAAAAAAGGTGAAAAAAAGTTTAAAAATAAATTAAAAACTTCTATAATGTAAGGATGATTCACCTAGCAGCATTTAAGACGCTTAGGCATGGGTAGCAAAGAGAAGACATTATTCATTGCCCTGGTAGCTCAGTGGTAGAGCTCTTGTCTGGGAGGTCGAAGGTTCGAATCCTGCCCGGTGGCTAGAGTGGCTTGGACTAATCTTAAGATAAGACACACCGTGGGGCTGGAAATTTGATGTCTATTAAATAGAGGGTAACGCTTAAACACCTCCCCCCAATCCAGTGCCGACCAAATTTAAAAGGGCATCTCTTAACCAGAGGTGTAGCTTTAATTAAAACAATTTTATTATTCATTAGATTCTCCAACTCCAAACAATTCTGATGGGGAATTAGACTGTAAAGAAAAATGCCTGGAGGATCCCCAACATATAAAAGACGAGAAAGATGGTATTGAGGAGGCTGAAAATAAATTTCAAGTTGAGAATCTGGTTTCAAATTTTGAGGTGTTGCAGAAATCTTCTGGAGAAGAAAAAATTGAAATTGATACAAAAAATGAAAAATGTGGGAAAGGTAGAATTGAAATGTTTGGATAAGGAAAGAGGGAAGTGTGCTTTTTTCGTTACATGAACCTACATAGGAGGGAGTGTTTCCAGATTAGGAACCACGGTCCCGGACAGGGCTGTACGCCAAAATTTTTTTGTGGAACGCCAAATTTTCAGCCAAACGCCAAAAATCGGCCAAAAATGAATGCCAAACACAAAACGCCAGACGCCAAAACGCTATGACGCTATGACGCTCAGCCCTGGTCTCGGAACTGTCAAAAATTTTGGAATCACCGGGAACTTGGAGATTGTTTTAATGTCGGAACCTCAAGGAGACTGTCATCTGACGATATTTTCAGCCGCAGCGATAAAGCAGAGTGATAGAAGCGAGTCTGATAAAGATGTCTAATGCTACGTCCATATAAAAATTCAATGGGTCTTGTGGCAGAAAAGATAATAAGAAATGAAGAGAGTCAAGTCGCGCGCGATTTGTCTCTCCTTGTTTTGAATTTTATTTAATGTGGCAAGACGCAAAGTGTCTTTTGTGTGAATACGCTCTTGCGTCTTGCGGAAGAAAATAGCATTCAAAAGAAGGAGAGACAAAAACGCGTCTCTTCATTCTCAATGCTATTTTCTTCCGCAAGACGCTTTTTTATGTAGAGCTGAGGAGAAAGATGAAGTAAGGCAGAAAAAATTTTTAAGGCAAAGGCTTGAAAGGGTCTAGACTTGAAAAGGCCAGAAAATTTTTTTTTAATTTTCTTATTAGATTCTTCATCTCCAACTCATTCTGATGGGGAATTATGTGAAGAAAAACGATCAGAAAACTCTCCTCAAGCCATTCAAACTGAGGAAGAGGAGGAAGAGGATCCTCAAGTGATTCAAAATGAAGAAGAGGAGGAAAAAGAAGAATGGGATCCTCAAGCCATTCAAACTGAGGAAGATGAGGAAACCGAATTAAACATTAAAAATTTATTTTCTCCTACAACCTCTGAAATTTCTTCGGATTACGAAGACAACTCTGTTGTTCTAAACGAGGAAAACAATGAAGAAAAATTAAAAGATGAAAAAGGAAAGGGAAAAATAGGGGAAGTTCAATGGCGCCGAAAAAATCAACAACTTATTGAAAGTGAGGTTAAAAAGCCAGAACATACTGAATCGAAGCTTCAACCAAGTAGAAGTTCTCGAAGAAACGCGCGTAGGAGAACTCTGGAAGGGCATCTTATAAGAATAGCAAGAGGTAGAAAAATATATATAATTTAAATTCGAGTCTAATAGTCCTGTCCTAGAGGAGTGTGCCAATTTGCTTCGCGGCTTTTCGCCTTTTTTGGCGTTATGCCGCTCGACTTTCACCGTTCTCTTTTTAAATTGACCTTGACCTTGCGTTTCGCTTTTTAAAATCTGTTTCGGCACATCCATGTTACGTAACTATATATATAGGTCGCTTCAGGCCCGTAGCCAGGTGGGGGGTGAGGGGGGGGAGGGAAATGTGGCTAAAATGTCACCTTTCAGGCAGAAAAAACTCGATAACCTCGGAGAGCATACTAGCAGGGTGTCATATAAATGAGGTCACAATGACCACCCCTCTTACCGTGAATTCAAATTAAATAAAACATTGACCAGATACAAACCTAAATCTTATATAAAATGTTCAGAACAAAGAAAATTTTTAACTGAAACGGGAACATCTTCATCCAAAACATCTTCAACTAACATTGAACTGGAAAAGGCATATTTTAGGCTTATTTTTTAAATTTCTCAAATTTTTATTCAGGGGTTGGAAGAATCAGTTGCGTCAAACTCTCCAAAGGAGCCTACTAAAGGACCCCTTCCAAACACTTTTAAAGGAACTAGAAATTTACGAGGGAATTATAATCATCCAAAACCTCTAATTATTACTCGACCTAATCAGCATCAACAAAATCGTCCAAAACCTCTATTCACTAACCGACCTAAGCAAGGACATCAACGCCAACAAAATTCTTTTAAAAGACAAAACTCAATTTTAAACAGCTCTCAAACTCCCTTAAACTATCAGTTGTAAGATTTTTCTTCAAGTTTTAAAGTTGGGTAGTAATAGAATTAATGAACCTGGTCTGAGAGGTCCTGATCGACTAAAAAATCTTGAGAGGTCCCAATCAACTGAGATCTGAGAGGTCTGGTCTGAGAGGTGGTTCTTCCCTAAAGCCAAAAGTTCCTCCCTTGGTTCCTCCCGAAGATTTTCTTTCGGTCTTTAGAGGGCGTTATAAATGTACCAACCTTTCGACTATAATCATTGGATCCGTCAGTGACCCTTGGTTTAGATTTTCGGACTGCTTATCTTGTCTTAACAGAGACCAGGATCTTGATCGGACATAGGGTTTTTTCTGCCTTATTTGTTAGGGTGGTCCTTGTTTTTCCTTCTCGAAAATTTTATATCACTCAAGGTAGAATAGTCATATGTATTTAAGTACCTTTATTAACAGCGTGAGTCCGATGACATCTCCATCTAATATGCCTTCAACTCCAATTAATCCTCAAGTTCAACATTACATGCTACAACAATATCCCCATCAAGAACCTCCTTATTCTCCACATATGGTTCCTCCAATGCCAGTTTATTCGGAAGTCCACCATCATATATTACCACAATATACTCATCCTTCTTATCCTCACCCACAACAACTTCCGCATCCACAATATCCTCCTCATCAACACCCTCCTCAACTAACAGTCATCAATCATCATTACCATATTCACCCACAACCAGTTATTCAAGTCCCAGGACAAATGCCTAATATGCCTGTCCAACAACAACAACCATTTCACTACCCTTTACATGGTCATAGTCAGATAATGCCAACACCTTTATTATATCCAGTATCTGATCCTAATGTAGACTTAAGTCTGACAATACCAAAAGAGCGATTAATTCTTACTCAAGATGAAACTTCTCAACCTCCCAATTTGTCACACCGCCCTGGTAAATTTCAATTAAATAATATAAAGTAACTTGTGGGAGGTGGGGGGAGGGACGCTTACTGGTACTAACGATATCTGTAACTATGGATATATTTCCTGGAAGTTAAGATGTTCAACTACAGTAGAATCCCTCTATAACGACACACATCAATCTGAATTTTGTTTATGTTAGGGAAGGGGGGAACCGGGCGAGGGGGAGTCAAATCAAGTGACATTATGATTGACTTAGCACAATAGTAAACTTCAATTTGAGTTAATTTAAGTAATTAAAAAATATGTGGGTTATATATATACGTTCAAAAAATTTTTAGAAGGAAATACTAATCGTTCCAACATACGCTCCAAAAACGAACATCCATGATGAATGATTAACGGAAATTTTTCAAGAGAATTTTTTGAAGAAATTTTTTTACAGAGTAAAAATGTATATTAGAGCTAGCAGAAGTCGTACCATCTTATTTTGTATGTAGAGTTGGTCCCCGATCCCCGCCGAAATTTTTTTCTTTGACATCCGCGTTCCCGAAGAGGTTCTCCCCGACGGGTCGTGGACCAACCCTAATATTCTGCATATTTTTTTGCGTTTTTTAAAAACTTTTGCATATTTCTGCATATTGTAGACTTTCTATTGTTAGATAAACATTTTTCTTTATTTGTCGAGTGATTTTCTTGAATTAGTCAAAAAACAATTTTTAAGAATTTTAACAAACTGTCCATTATAAAAACCTACTTGTTGTTACGAAAATTTCTTACAGTAACAAAGATTAATTAGGTTAAATATTGGGGATGGTATGGTATTGCAGTTGAGGATTGCTGATTTTTAAATTAATTGAGAAGCTGTATTTTATCTCCTAGGGTTGTCCGAGATTTAACTAATGTCGACGTGCACAAGAATAAAATTTTATCTAATGTAGAAATGAACAATGAAGGCGAAGGGCTTGAGGCTGGAACAAACGGAGGATTTTTTTCTCAAATAAATATTAATCACGTGAGGTTATTGCGCCTGACTGCTATCATTTGACAGAGGAATAGAGGGATTAGGAGTAATTAGGAATGGATTTTTGGCTTAACAGAGCTATGGAAGGATTTGTAAAGATTAGTTTTTTGGGGGGGGGGTAATTAAGAGAGGCACTGCTAATTTTCTTAAGGTGTAGGGATTAAAAGATATCTTGGGTAAGGAGCTTGAGAGGGTACTCTGATGGGACGTGTATCCTATTTTGGGACGTATATACTTCTGTGGGAGCATAAGGGTTCATGGGATGCAAAAAATTTCATGGGACGCATAAAAGCTTATGGGACGCAAAAAATTTCATGGGACGCATGCACTTAAGTAAAGCCGGCTTTTCTTTGTAAAATTAGAATTCTTGAGTAAGAAAGATCGGGATCATTTAAACCAGGGCTCGGATCGACAAAATGCCAATAAAAAGTACAAAAATCTTGATTTTAAAGTACATAGGGGCAAAATTTCCACATTTAAAGTACACTTAAAATTAAATTAGAAAATATTTATTCGTGCTCAAATCTTTTATTTCTCTCTTAAATTAATCTTTTCTAATAATTTCTTGTTTCAACTTAGCATTTTGTGAATTTCAATGCACTTTTTTGTGGAGCCGAAGGCGCCAAAAAATCTATTTTTTTGCGCCGCAGGCGAAAATTTTGAGAATTTTGGAGGTCCTTAAGCCAGATTTCTTCCATTTTTTGCGCCGCAGGCGAAAATTTTGAGAATTTTGGAGGTCCTTAAGCCAGATTTCTTCAATTTTTTTCAAAATGTTGATTTTAAAGTACATACTTTCAATAAAGTACAAATTCAATTTCGTAAGTACGGAGGTCGATTTTAAAGTACTGTACTTTCAAATAAAGTACGAATCCGAGCCCTGATTTAAACGATCCCGATCCTGAGTAAAAAAGATCGGGACATTAATAAGAAATAAGAATTCTTTCAAAAAATGCTTCATTTTTATTTACTTTTATAAAAGACTTGAGTAATTTATAATTTTTAGAAAAATTTTTTTTTTAATTTTAAAATAAAAAATAAATTTCTGAGAATTTTAAGAAAAGATTTTCTGTTTTTCTAAAGGAAATGAGAAATCAAAAATTCTTTGGAATTTTTCTTTTATTCATTTTATTTGCTTATTGTGTTTATAAGGTTGAGGGAGGTAGCGATGATGAAACTGAGGTGAATGAGGCAACTAATAAGCGTGGAGAAGGATCGGGAACTCAAGAAAATGCGGAATATAAAAAAGTCGGGAGAGGAAGAACTAGACGTAATAACAGGCATAAGAAGAAGAAAAGAATAATGGAACGATTAGAAAGAGGTATTTAGTAGTAGGATTTGATCAAATATCCTAGAAATTGGTTGTGTTATTCCACTTTTATTATAAATGGACAAGAAAAATACTCGATAAAAATGTTAATAATTTTTAAACTTTATCAGAGGCAATAGAACAATATGAATCGGATCCTAATGAAGGAGTCCAACCACATCCTAATGAAGGGCACTATCAAATTCCTCACCAGTCTACTGTAGTTGGTTCTCCAACAGTAGCTCATCGTCCAGTTATCGAAACCTATATACCCACAAATTTTTTTCCAACGCGAGGTTATCTTATAAAAATAATAGTTAATTTTTAAATTAATCTGAAGCAACGGAATACGAACCAACTGAAAACCAAGGACTTCAACCACATCCTAATCAAGGACTTCATCAAGTCCCATCCCAACCTATGGTTGGTTTACCACAAGTTGCTGTTCATCCAGTAAACTACGCTCATATACCTCCACACCCTACTCCAATCCAAGGACCTGTTCAAGGAGTGCCTGTGATGTATGGAATGCCAATTCAACAAGTTCAGGGGCAAATGCCTTATGTATATGCACACCCTCTGCATTATACTCCACCTGTTATTAACAACAATCAACAGATCTATTATGGTCATAACCCAATGCCGACACATTCATTACATCCAGGATATGCCCCTAATGAAGATTTAACTGACCGATTGACACGAGATCAATTACTTCGAACTCAGGATGAAACATCGCAACCACCTAATCAGACACGAGGCTATTGTATAAATTAAAGGGCACTCCTGCCGTTTGGGCGGCCGCAGTTCTCTTACCATTCTATCTTTTTTTTAATCAGATTTTTTAACATAGGATCTAATTGCTGAAGCTAATCAAATCTGGTGACTTCCGACAGGAAAAATGAAAAAATTCACATTAGTCTCATAATGGTAAGAGGCGGCCCCAACGGCAGAAATGCCCATAAAAGTTTTCAATCAAAGCTAAGGAACTCATTCTATTAAGGACACCATAACTATTCAAAACCGAATCTCTGAATACTTTAACCAATGGTAACCCAAAGATACCGTTAATTATCCTCAAAAATATTTAAATTTTTAATAATTTTCAGGAAGTTCGTAAATCCAAAAATGCATAACAATTTATTATGAGAGAGAAAAGAAGAAAATTTCGATGAAATTTAAAAATTAAACTAAGTATTATATACTTGAGTAAAGCAGCTGGGCTATAGCTATTTCTCTCCTCTAGCTAGTGCAAATGGTTATTCGGCGGCTGGGAGCGAACCAGCATCTTCAGTAGACCGGACTGATGTGTTAGCCATTACACCACGCCGCCTACTGCTCAGCATTAGGAAATTAATAGCTATATGCTTTACACTTGTGAACTTTATACTTGAAGTCCGCTTCACTTAGAGAAACAAAGTGGATTGGAGTTAGATTTCCATTTTCCGAATTCTGACGTTATCGTCTGTTCTGACCCACTCTGTTAGAAAGCATGATTCCGTACTTTCTAAAACAGGGATGTCACGGGTTACCCGAAACCCGATACCCGAAACCCGGCCTTTTTTTCGACCCGATACCCGAAACCCGATCCGAGAAATTTTCTAAAACCCGACCCGTAACCCGACCCGAGAATTTTTATTTTTCAAAACCCGACCCGAAACCCGACCCGAGTTTTCTCAAAATTTTCGCCCGCGTCGCAGAAAAAGGGAAGATTTTTAGCTTAATGATCTTCCAAAATTCTGAAAATTTTCGCCTGCGGCGCTGAGAAGGGAAGATTTTTGGCTTTTTGGCTTTCCAAAATTCTCAAAATTTTGGCTTTTTTCGACCCGAAACCCGAAACCCGATCCGAAGAAAATTTTGAAAACCCGATCCGAAACCCGACCCGACTTTTTGCTCAACCCGAAACCCGAAACCCGATCCGAGAAAAATTTTGGAAACCCGACCCGAAACCCGACCCGACATTTTTCTCAACCCGTGACATCCCTGTTCTAAAAGTTGTCTGGCCAATGGATAGGGGGGAGTTTCCTAAGCTGAACACTTATTTTAAAAATACCATTTTTCAGCTCCAGTTTATCATCTCATAGTGAAGTCCGCCTATTATATTTCTGGCTTATTTTCAAGTTTTGTAGACATTTAAATTTTTAGAGTGAACTTTGTTCATTAATTTTTAAAATTCGTTAAAAAACTTGTAGCCGATTCTAGCTTTTGCCAGTCATTGAAAACTTTTCTCGAGAATGCCATGTTTGTGACAGAAAATAGGGGATGTTGGAAAAGGCGACACTCATCAGACTCTTCAATACCCCTGACACGTCTTAAGTCAATAAATCATACGAGAGTAATGCGCCTGCGTGCTATCACTTGAGAAAGACATTTTATAGAGACATTTTGCACGTCGACTGCCTTTCGCTATAATTACAGCCCGGCCGGACTCTGATATGAGTTTTCAGGACCTTGACATTAAAAAATAATATTCAGGGCGTCAGTTGGCCCCTCCCGGAGCCATACCCAGCACTGATCCGCACTTCGTCAAACCATGAAATGAACCCTCATCAAGCAAAAATTGGACCCTAAAGAAGACCCCGAAGGTTTCGAAAAATTTGACTATGTGTTTAATAACTTTGAATGATATTATTGAATTAGTGGAAAACAATCTTTAATAATGAATCGTAGATCTATCTGGCTTTTAGCAGGCATTGAAACAACAGAAGATGAGAAATGACGGGTATTTGA